TCTGTTGTAGAAATCATCAGGCCTTTGGGTTCGTTAACCATCTCTCAATTCATTTTCTTGAAGTCTTTAGAAGTGATCAAATTTTGCCACACGAAGGCTTACCTATTTCGGGGAAATTTGCATTATTCATACTCAACCCTTAGCAATGTATAATAATCTACTTCCATTCTTTACTTTTTTATTTATTTATTATTTTTTAGCATAGTAGCAAAATTTGTCTTTTCCTTCATTAAATAATAAATTTGTCTCTCTTTAAATAAATAAAAATAAAAAAAGGATTAAATTTTTTTAAAAAAAATGAAATTTGCAAATGAAGGTCTCGTAACTTTTCAAAAAGTACAATTAAATACGAGTTAACACATTAAAAAAATTAGAAAAAAATCATCTTCCCAACCAATTAACACCACCCAATCAACCCGAAGCCAAACACCACCTCCAAATCAAGAATGGCAACGTGCTAAGGCGTATTTCGAAAATTTATACGTATGGCTGGATGTAGACCTATTGAGATTGAACGTGATCCAATGACCCTCAAATGCTAGGATCACATCCCTTTGGGGTTCAATTGTCCATGTAACCAGTCGTGCTCACTTGATTTTTGTTACTACTGTTTTTATTCACTGAAAAGCAGAATGGACAAAAGAAACAGTTGGTCACTCAATTTAAGAAAAGTTTCATTTCAGTGACCAAAAATTTCCTTTTCCAACTTGCTCAGCTCCTCTCTGATTCACATATCTTCATTGATAAAGTTAATGGATATCCCAACGTAGCAAACCTACAATACGGCATGGCTATCCTGGTAGAACGACCCATTAGTGGATGCTCAAAGTTGCGTAAACAAGTTAACAAAAAAGAAAAATGAAATGAAATGAAATGAAACTTCATCTGAAATTAAGTTGAGTGGTCAACGATGCTTTTTACCCCGTTATAAACACTAGACCAATAAACACATCGTTTTGATCTCCTCCAACAAGAAGCCAAACATCAAATACCAACTCGAGGTGTGAAAGTAGGCCGAGTTGGGAGTTACACCTCTACCTCCACAACTACATAACATGATTGGACTACTTATTTACAGAACCTAGAAATTTAAACACAGTAATTCAACAGGTATATGCATCTCTAAGAAGGACGAGTTCAATATTCGCATAGAATTGGCAAAAAGCTCATTATGCATATCTTCTCCTCAATCCTTCAATATAAACCAAATCATGTATATGGAAACAATTATACCTTATAAGCTTAATAAGAAATTCCGTGGCAAAAGAACAAACATCAACCCAATAAACTAGCAAAATGTTGTAAAATATATGTGAATTATCAACATATCTAGTAGTTGCATCTTGTAGTAGCCAACTGATGTTATGCATGTAAAACCCAACTAAATAAAAGTGGTACGTAAAGAGAGTGAAAAGGTTCAAAATTACTTGTGATTCAACCATGCCTGCGTCTCTTGAAATTGTCCTCGTTAAATGACTCCCATTTCTTGTGATCAAGAGCGCTTAGATCATCAAGCTCTGCTATGGCAAGTAAATATTGAGTTAGCTTTACAAGTTCCTGATCGCTGTCTCGGTTTGCATGGGCTTTTCTGAATGGTTTTATAACCAAGCCATTTTGTGGGTTCATCACAAAATTCCTTCGTAAATCGTCAAACATTATACTGTTTTTGGCACTGTAAAACTGCAAATGTATGATATAGAGACATTACGTCAGAGAAGCCATTATCGAAAATAAATAAATGTTTTGTTGGTCAAGGTTAAAAATAAGTTACTTACATTGACATCAGGGGAAGAGTTACTAACAAAATAAGTAAAATATTTACTTAAAAGCAAAAATAATACATTCAAATATGTTTCGATACAAAAGTTACTTTAAGCATGGCCGAACATAACTTCAATTTGCAAGATGCGATATTCACTCAAGATCAAGGCCAGTTTCTACATTTTCTTGAAAAATCGTTCATGAATAGGAATATGTGCTCTTTCAGAAGCCGTGCAAACATTGCATTTCAAATACTTAAATAGAAACTTAGTAAATGAGGCATAGAAGTCAAAAAAGGTAATCGAACCTCAGGAAAATGAGCCCAAATTAACCCGAGTGGTTTGCAATCAAAGACCCCACAAGTATCTAACCGAACAGTGATTGTAGAAGTAAAAAAAATGTAATCAAACCTCGGGAAAATGAGCCCAAATCAACCCAAGTGGTTTGCAATCAAAGATACCACGAGCATCTGATCGAACGGTGACCATTGCCATATGATCAAGCAGAGCTGTAATTTTGTAGTTTGGATTATTGAGCACACCAAGTTGTCCCATCTTTAACTCAACCCATTTCATACTGCAGAAATGAAATAAATACATTGAAGTGACAGGATTTTAGATCTCCATACGCTTATGATGAGAATCAAAAGATGAACACATGTGCACACACACGAGGCATAATGGTAAACCAGAAAACCTATATATTATCACACATACAAAATTATGAAATTTAAAATGTTCTCATTACATTGATTTTTCACTTCTACTGAGTAGGAATAAAAAAGCAATTATTTTAACCTATGAAGCAAGGACAGTCACAAAAATGGCAGACACACGAACACATGATTTTTCAAAAAAGCATGACAGGCACATCACTTGTCATATCTAAATTCTTTAAAGTTTTAGATTTATATATGTTATATCTTTATATTGTATACTCCTAAATATAAGACATGGCAGGTGGCATGTCGAACACTTATCCGAGGAGTCTCCTTAAAGTATCCATCAAGAAATGTAAGTTTATAAAATATAACATAGCAAGTGGCTTGTCAGATACATGTCTTGAAGTGTTCGAGTCGTGTCAGTGTCCAATGTGTCATCCAGCACGTCACAATCTGACATGTGTCAGACACGTACATGCCGCCTAGCAAGAGTATCCATGCTTCATATATTTAACACTTTCTCTCAATATTTAAGTCCTCATAAAACAATAGTTGATCAAAAATTTCAATAGCGAAAAAAAAAGAGTTACAGAATTAATAAATCTCAAAATGGCAGCAATAAAATGCAGCTAATACAGTAGTCTTCCTATCTGAGGGTGCACCCTCGAGCGCCTCCTACTAAGATGGATATATATGTAAATTAATTAATACATAAATACTTGGTCCACATTTATTTGAAAATCTTTGCACTTCTCAAGCGTGTTTTGGGTTAGTACACTCAACTTGTAATGAAACACTCCTGTATAATAAAGCTAGAAAATTCAAAGAAGTGCATTTTATGCCTCTTCTCATTCAAAGTGGAAGACAGTGGTAGACTATATTGAGAGAGAAAATGATTTGGAATGTACAAATTGAAACCCCTTTGGCCTTGTAAAACACTCGACAGCTTCCTAAAGTGCACTTGCTCATCAGTAGCATTACTAGCACACTCCTCTATCCATCTATTAAGAGGAATACTCCTAATGTGTACAGTCCTACTGCTTCTGCTAATAGTATGTCACTGTTACTGTTAGTTTTTCTGATTCGCCAGCACAACCTCAACCCACTGTGGGAAAAGAAAGATCTTATAAGAGAACCCATATGTGCTGTCAAAATTGGTGCATGTTGGAGTGCCTTGCACACAATTTAAGGTAGGTGCTCGTCCATTATCGGTTGTGTTCTGGCACGAAGGCATAGGGGCATGCGAGAAAAGAAATGACAGTTCCATATTTTTCAATTGAGAATTAGGAAATTATTCTGTCAAGTGTCAAACTGTTGTAATTAGCATGAGTTTGGGAAAAGAGCATATTAAGATGTATTTAATGTAAACATAAGAATTGCAAAAATGTTCATTGATCATTAAGAATTCAAAGCCATTAGGATGTAAATTAATTGCAAAAGAATTTCTATAGAAGCAAATGCTTCTTTCTCTCTGTCCAATAATTTTAGTTAATTTCAAAACGATCCTTTATAAATAGTGGCTTCTAATGGTCATTTCCAAAATATCAAGTTTATAAACATAGGATATAACAATGATGCCTTCGTATTAAATTGTCTTTTAGCGTGTGTAAAATGGGAAAATATGATATGATAAATTTGAATTTTCCAAATGAAGCTATTTTTACAAATGTCTTTAGCTAAGACAAGCAATTCCAACTTCCAAGCTCATTCCACAAAAAGGTTTCAATTGATGGATTATAAACAATGGAAAAATCTTGACCTGGTTGCAGACCATATCATGATGTCATACTCTGCGTAAACGGCCGATAGAAATTCATGAAGATCTGTGTCAAGTAACCGAATAGTAAACAGCATAGCAGGATTGGCAAAGAAAGAAGAAAAATGTTAAAGATAAATAAAAACACTTACAAGGCCGCATAAGTTCTAGTGGGTTTTCTGCCGTTGACCGGTGATCAAACAAGGTATAATCAATATCCAGAACAAGCAGCTTTTTACCTTCTCGGCACGGGTTGAGAAGTTCAATCTAACATTAGCACTCAACATCATCATGACAAGGAATAACAAACTAAAATTTGGATTATTAAAGCAATGAGAAGTAAAGAAACTGATAACAGGAATCATTTTGCATATGTACTCGCCAATCTCATTGGACACATTTCATGCCATGCTATCAGAACTATAAGGATGGGGATAACTGACCTTATACTGCCCAATACGCCGCCTCAATTTCTGTTTATTGACTTCATTATCTTTAATGTCAACCTCTTCAACTTGTCCAATTTCAAAATCATCAATAATCTCCGGAGAGTCCATTGGATCCACAATTATTTCATCTTCAACAGTACTGCGAATCAAATAAAAATTCCACACATCACCTCACATCACATAAAGCATTAGAAGTTAATCAAGAACATGCTGGTGCCAAAGAACAAAGTCTATTTATGAAATCTGCATTGTTCCGGGCAAGGACTTCATAGAAGATCCTAGAAGATTAATATTCCAGGGAAACTAGAATCAGTCATTCTATTCTAAAATTGGCAATGTATAGCTAACTGAGACCGTGATTGAAGTATAAAACTTTTTAAGTTGTTATTAGAGAAGCAAGTTACTTCAACTGGGGACACACTGCTGGGATAAAAATAACATATCAAGCGATGGTCTAATCTTGCGGATCAATTTTCTATAAGAAGCTCGCACGCAGGCACGACTCACCGATACTCCAAATACTGATAAAATAAGATATGGCCTCACTAACAAGACAACAATAGACTCTGTTGCATGGCCATGCCCGACATGTGACCAATACATGTCGGATACCGACACTCCTCGAATATTCTACGATGATCATTTTTCTATTTTATAAAAAAATATTATATATTTGTAACTCAAATTTATTATTAAATAACAAATAAGAACTCATATTTAAAAGATTTCAACAAGATAACAAGTATAAAACTAAATTTATGATATATAAAAGAAGAATTTTAAAGTATTTAATCAACATGCTGACGACATGTCCTATCAGTAATTTTTTTGAAAAATCACGTGTCGAAGTATCCGACACGTGTATCCGTTTCACTGCATCATAGAACAATCATAAATGTGCATTCACATATAAAGGTCATAAGTTACAAACTTACAACAAACAGTATGATTCCAAGCTAATTATGAACACACACCAAAAAGCCCAACATCAGGGCCATGTAAAACCTATTCATTTAGCTTTGTCGTTCATCCAGGTTTTACGGGACAGCAGAATTATTCTCATCATTGAACCAATTTATTGAACCTCTATGTAGTTGTACACCCGCAATCCCTATAAAATCTAGCAGCAAAAGCCTTTGTTCGGGGGTATAGTTAGCTTATCCCTTGATCGTTCCTCTTGGCTCAAAATCACAATGCTCATACAACGAAAAGAGTTTGATTGTTCAACTCTTTTCTTAAGCATTCATTTTAACTTATTGTAATCATAGAACTAGCTTTATCCACACCGCGAAATGGCCATAATTAGAGTAGAAAAAACCATTTCTTTGGCAGCAATGATTTCTTGAAGATTTTGGGACCAAAATCATTAATCATTGACTTGTGCGTTATAACTAGAAAATCCATGGAACACAAATCACTTAACAAGGATGGCTCACTTAACTCACCTCAATTATATTTTCCCTTTCTTGGTCACCTCTGCTAGGGATCCAACATTGTCAGTCAATCCAAGTACATAACAATTTTTATCTGCAGTCTTTGGGTTTTCATTACCATGAATAAACTTAACAAAAGCCAGGAGAAAGATAACTAAACCTTTTGTGTATGTATGGGCATACGGGTGTAGATTACACAGATATAAAGATTAGACTAGAGAAATGCAAAACGATCCAATTAACAAAAATCTAGCATATTTACTCCAAAATGACTAACAACCTGGAACAGAATATAGGCAACCACCCTTCAATTAATCCGAAAAAAAAACTTCAACAAAATTCCATTATGAAGTTCTAAGAATACCACAAACCAATGTCCAAGTCATAAGAATTCTCAGAAAAAGATCAAAACTTCATATAAATCTATTAATTCAATTTCGTATATAACCACTAACAAGTAGATATGCAAACAGATACATGTGTGCGTGCGTGTGTTTGGAAGAGGTAGGGGTCACGGACCCAATCATGGTCATTTTGAGGGAGGCTTTGAGTGGAATTTCCGAAAGAAGGAGAGTATCATCCGCGAGTTTGGAGCCGACTTTAGGGTAGAGAAGCTTCTGGCGTTTGGGCAAAACATTTGTCGCCTCACAAATACGCCGCTTCAGCTCTCCCACTGTGTCGTCCCCGCAGACTCTAACAGTGTACTCCTTCCCGCTCCATTTTACCGTCAGAGTCAGCTCTTCCTCCGTCACCGGCGACACTGCCACAGCCGCCGAAGACGACGACATAGCATCACTCTCCTTTTCGATTAAAGTCAGAATGAACGCTCTTTTTTGTCGTTTAAAATAATATTTTGAGTAGGACTTCTTTTATGGGAAAATTACGAAAAACGTCCCCAATCTTTCAAGTCTTTTGCACTTTGATCTGCAACATTTTCTTTTACAACCGTGTCCTGACATTTGGGAAAAAAGCGGCACACCATTTTGGAAAATGCTTCTACATTTTATTTTATTTTATTTTATTTTGGTTAATTGACCAATAGCGGCACACCATTTTGGAAAATGCTTCTACATTTTATTTTATTTTATTTTATTTTGGTTAATTGACCAATTTGATAAGCAAAATCAAAATTTAAAATGGCAAAAATGTTATTGTTTTATTTTTAATTAAATCATTAAAAATGAAGAAAATAAAAAAATTAAAATAATCATTAATAAAAAGTAAATAAAAATGTAAATCTTTCAACTTCTTCCACGCCACCCCACGTTACGCTACCACATCCCTTCCCCGCACCCCCATGACACCCTATTAGCACCACCGCACCACCTATATTTTCGACAAAAAAATTTAAATATAAAATAAATAGTATTCTAAAAAATATAATGCACAATTAGCAACAAAATTAAATTTCAAGTTTTAACTTAGAAAAGTGATTTTTATTTTTTATATTATTTTGATTATCCTAAAACAATTAAATAAATAAAATGTTGTTTTTCAAATTATAAATACCATAATTACTTAATAATTTTTAAAGCTAAACAATTTTCAAAATGGCAAAAACTAGACATTTTTAAAGTATAAGGTATTAAATTATTTATAAATAGATAGAGATTTCATATAATATATTGGGATAATTTTGCTGGATATTAATGTAACTTTTAAAATTTCAAATCTAACGTCATTACTTTTTTCTATTCCCCCATCAGCATCACTGTCTTAATCAAAAACATACATTCCTATTTATACTTATGCCGAATTCATCCAAGAATTTTGTAACTTACAAACTTTATTGCAATTTTTTCCCTAGTAAATTTTATTAATCTCGAAATCTTGGCGATTTAAAATAGGAAAGTCAAATCTCCGATGTTGTAAGAATTGAATAGTAGCATATTTTTGTCATTGATTTCAAATGAAATTCGTTATTAACACTATATTAAGAGCCTATTTGA